GTGAATGCCACAAATTCTCCTAAATCACTCGTACGCACAACTTAAGAACAAATCTGTGCGTACGAACGGTTCTTGCATGAGGCCCAATGTTTTACGTCCGCGTCAGGACATGTCAAACTCCCGTCACCCGGGCCTTGAGTTTGTGTGACTCTTGTGACACCTTGAGTTTGACACGTGTTCTTCATGTAAAGGACCACACAGAGATCTTTATGAACATCATCAAAAATAGGAAGCGACTGAAGGCCTAACATTCTGTGAAGGAATCCATATCACCAACTGATTCATATAATAAATTCACATCACCTACTGACTTTCATTTCAGAGTTTTAAACCTAAAATCATCTCGTGGTGAGAAATGTTGGAGTTGGACAGTTTTGGTCAAACCTTATACCATATCATACCATGAAAGATACATGTCACAGATGACTCAGCTACAACCACCAACCAATTTATAGATAAATCTATAAATTTATAGTCGGTTGAGTGATTGATATGGTAGTAACTGAGAGATATTTTTAAACATCACTATCAGCGCCAGCAGCATATAATTTATAAGGTTCTATAAACATCTGGTATGAAAGGTGGTGGGTGATAATGTATTATTTCAAGGAAGGTTTGGCCTTTAAATATAATAAATTAACTTTAAGAATTGATTTTATTTGCACATGTTTACAATGAATGTTTCTAAAAGGCAGAAAGTAACCAAAATGATCCTTTTTAGTGATCAGAAACACGTAGAGAAGAATGGTATATTGAGTAGAAGTGCTATCACATGACTTAATGGTCCGAGTGAGCAGTCATGTTGTGCAGGGCGAGGTCTGTGCATCATGTAGGAAAGCCTTGTTTCTGAGTCTGAATTTGTGGAAGGAGAAATGTACCATCTGCTGAAATTAAATAACGGTGGGTTTGTTGTTCCTTGTCGGGAAACTGAGGCTGAGAAAGCTCTCCAGAGGTCCATGAACATTATGTCAACAACAATTACAACTTTACAGCAGAGGTCTTTAAAATACTTAAACAATAACTAAGTAAAAGTAAAATTACATGAACTGAAAATGACTTTGGTAAAAATAAATTTCACTGATGAGAAAACTACTCAAGTAAAAGTCATAAAACTGTTCACAAAAATTGGGAAAGTAAAAGTACTTTTACACACTCTCTAAGAAATAAATAGTTGAATTTACTGAACCAAACTGGCTCCACTAAGCCAGGTTGAGTAAATTGAGCAATATATGTATATTCTTTGCTCAATTTACTGATGATGGTCAGACGGTCTGGTGGCACCGGTGCATGGCAGCCCCACCTCTGTCAGTGTTCTCCAGGGCAGCTGTGGCTACAATGTAGCTTACCATCATCAGTGTGTGAATGTGAGTGTGAATGGGCCTCATGCAAGAACCGTTCGTACGCACAGATTTGTTGTTAAGTTGTGCGTACGAGTGATTTAGGAGAATTTGTGGCATTCACCAATGTTTTCGTATTCTAAGATTTTTTTCAGATACGAACAAAATTTACGAGTGGTCCAGACCTGTCGTACATTTTACCAGCAGTCAGTCTGCTGTTATCCAGATGGGTTTTACGGTGCGCAGCGCTGTGTCTTCTGAATAAATGAAAATGATTTAACACAGTTGTTTATACTTTTAGCAGCTCTTTTTATTCCACAGCTGAGCTGCTAAAAATGACAGATTTTCTTTTCTGGATCTCTGACAGACAGCCTTCAATCTCTGAACTCGTAAAGTTCATCTTTTTACTTTTCGCTGTCATTTTTCATGAATGGACACTTCCTGACATCTGAGGCAGGAATCATAGCCTTATATGGTGTTTTTGGGGTGGTAATTATGCTAATCTCCTCTCTCGTGCACGAGCAGCTGGATAGAACAGGTGGAATTTTACGCAGCTCATTTACGCACGTTTCCTGAAGATAAAAGAGTGTTGAATCTGACGTGACATGTTCGTACGAACCCTTTGTACGAACAAAAGTAAGAGAAATTTAGGATAAAAATACGAACATGTTCTTGCATGAGGCCCAATGGGTGAATGTCTGTTAGTGTAAAGCGCTTTGGGGTCTGGAGGGACTTGATGAAGCACTCTATATGTTCAGTCCATTTACCATTTAACTAGGCTTAGGGGAGCCAGTTGACATGACTGTTGAGTAAATTCAAGACTTCATTTTAGAGTACATAAACATCTTCTTTCATGATGAGTTCAAACATATTTAATTTTGTCATAAGTAACTAGGAATAAAATTTTAAAGTCAAGAGGAAAAAGTATAATTTTTAGCTTCAAAATTAAAAAATAAAGTAAAATTACAAATCCTCACAAAAACTACTGAAGTACTGTAACGAAGTAAATGTACTTCTCTGCATGTCTGCATATTTCCACCTTCGAAACATCAACCGACTCCGTCCATCCCTGTCCCCACACTCTGCTTCTATCCTGGTTCATAGTCTGGTCATGTCTTGAATTGATTACTGTAATTCTGTCCTCTTTGGTCCGCCTCACAAATCACACCTTAAAATTAAAATTGTTCAAAATTCTGCTGTCTGCATCATCATCAAAATCCCCTCATTTCGCCACATCACCCCAGTCCTTCAGCAACTCCACTGGCTTCCAGTAACATTATGAGATTATTTCCCACCCATTCCCTCCATTCTTTGTCTTCCATGCACCTCACTATACTCCTTGTCTGCTTTAGCACCATGGGAAACAGCATTTTCTGACTCTGCTCCCCAGCTCCGGAGTGCTCTTCCCCCAGGCATCCGACTGTCCTCTGACATTCAAATCCCTACTTAAAACTAGTTATCCTTCTCACTATAATTTCTATAAGTTTTTAGTTTTAATGTGTTTTTATAGCCATGTTTTGTCCCCCTTTGCCGAGGCCAGGGACTTGAAAATGCCGTCCGTCTGTCTGTTACGATTTGAAAAAGCTGTAACTTTCTCATAGAAACGCTAAAATACACCAAACTTGGTAGGAGTCATTCACGTTGCATGCCTGACCATACCATGTGGTCATATGACATCATCAAAAACCTGTTTTTGGCTTGGACAGTTCCATCTCTTACTCTCTTGACCTAATCAGCAACACATTCTGTCAGAACACAAATAAGACCTAGATCTCACTTGCTTTCAAGCACAAAGACGTTTTAGTGAAAGGTTTGGTCGTGGCAGTGCAGCAAAGTCAGACATCACACCAGTGACATACGTTTGGCTCTAAATTCCGTCGTATTGCTGCAGTAATCCAGGCCAAATGAGCCCCAAATAAGTAGTGAGTGCTGTACATGTTCATGCTTTACATGTTCATACTTTTCAGTTGGCCAACATTTATAAAGATCCTTTTTAGTGTTGCTGTTAAGGAATATTCAAATTTTCTGAGATACTAAATTTGGGGTTTTGATTAGTTGTCAGTTATAATCATCAAAATTAAAAGAAAACATTTGAAATATATCATTCTGTGTGTAATGAATGACTATAATATACATGTTTCACTTTTTGAATGGAATTACTGAAATAAACGTTTTCATAATATTCTAATTTTATGACCAGCACCTGTACAGTATATACCGTTCTACTTAGAAATCTAGCCTTAATTGTTTACATTGACAGCCCACTCCTCACAATGTGGCACTTCACTCGTACCAAAGTAGTCATTCTTATGAAGTAGGCGTGACACCTATTCTATATACCTCATTTAATGAAGCTGTCTTTCTGTAAACATGGCTGCAGTTCTCCTGCCACACACTAATGAGTGTTTTCTTCTTTTCTCTGTTGGTTTGTGTGAAGTCAGCTATGGTTGTTGATCATTATGCTTGGTTTGATTGGCTTTTCTCTGGGAATGACTGCCATCCCTACCTTCCCTGAGATCATCACGTGTGCACAGTGAGTGTCTCCACGTATTTGTTCTCATTCATCAGGTCAACTAGGAGACTCTTCAAACTGGAGCTGTTTTTTGTGTTTGTAGTGAAAAAGGATTGGAGGAGGGACTGAGCACTCTTGGTATGGTCTCTGGGTTGTTTGGAGCCTTTTGGTCCATGGGGTGAGTTCAGGAGCCGTGTTATTGCTGAACTTTGACTTTCCTTGTTTGAATGATGATTGTTTTTCAGGATGTTTTACGGCCCGATAGTGGGAAGTGTTATCACACAGAATCTGAGCTTTCAGTGGGCAGCTACAGTTCAAGGAAGCATGACATTCCTGGCTGTAAGTTTTCACTATTATAACTTTTAATTAGTCATATAGTTTTATCATAACTAACACAGACAAGTTCTGTTTCGCTGAGTGACCCTTAATAATTCATTATAAATCTTTGTCTTGTGACCTCACGCCTCTGATGGGCCCTTTAAAGAGACAGAACTCTGTTCAGGTTGAACCTGAATTTAGGTCACAACAGGTCACCTTAACTTTAAAGAGACATTCTCTTTTTCTTAATCAGATAATAAACAGAATAATTTTCTTTTTATTTGATTTATTTGTCTCTTAACTAAGAGTTATTACACATTTTGATAATCATGAAACAATGTTGATCAAAGTTACAGAAGAAAAGATCTTTTTCTCCCTCAGTAAGATTCAGCTTTATTATGGATTTTTCTGTGGAAATGTCTTACTTAGCTAAACTAATCATTATGGTTTAAGTTATGATGAAACATCAATGTCTTATTTGTCAGAATCATAATGAATTGCAAATAACTCGTTCTTTGTCATTTTTTTGAAAAAGAGTTTTTCATCAGATAATATCTAAACATGTTTTGTTTAAGAACTGTGTTATGTTTGGATAAGTCTGGCCTTGGCAACTTCTCTTCTAACATTCTTATCTCTCTGACTAACTTATCAAGCTGGTGGGCAGGACTAAAAACCTTGTTCTTTAATGACTAACAGCGTTTTAGCCCGGACAGTAGAAGGAGACGGACACACTCCCGTCCGAAACTTCTGAGCAGCTGTTCTCCTGTGGGAGAATTGGTTGGGTAATTTGTCCAGGCGCCAAAGGACTGACTTCTCAGCAGGGCTCACACCAACAGCTGGTGTGACCCAAAACAAGAGATTACAGCCTCACAAAGCAACTTAGTCTTGACTTCCTGTGGGAAGCAAGTTTTATTTTGAATCGAGACCCAGTGAGCCTAGCCTGGTAAAAACAGATCCTTGTCCTTCACTTTGCTTCGTACGAGGGTCTGGACTCACGGGTGTAGAGAAGCGATTCTTGCTGGAGGCGTGGCCTCTGCTGAAGTTTAAAATGATAGGATCGGTTATGGTTAGTGGGGATGGATATAAAATCCAAATGAGTGGAGGCCTCCTAAGTGGGCCCATTGCTCTCTCCAAAAAGACACTGGTCTTCATTCAAACCTTCTCGTCCCTTGGATGAAGGACACAAGGTTAGAAACACTCAGTGTTCTGAGCTTTTCAGGATCCATAAAGGTGTCCCCAAGAATTCTTTTCCTTTGACCAATCAGAGCCAGGCAGTGGCCTAAGTAGTGCAAAAAGGTCTCTAATTCAATGCCACAGGCATTACACAGACCATTATCATTGGAGTCCCATCACTATTTTGTGGTGGTTGAGCAGATTGTGCCCAGTTAGGACTCCAACTAGTGTACTTAAAGTTTTCCTTGACAGGGAGATGAGAGCTTTCCCAAACCTTAGATTTGGGCCGTTAACCAGTTCCTGTGCCTGTCTACAGTCCGTCACCTCCCTCCAGTGGATTAAGTGTTGACATCTAATTCAGGCCTGTAGTCCTACAGACTGTTGTTGAGGTACCTACAACAGGCTCTGGTCCTTTGAAGTGAGCCTGACTGCCAGCTTTTGCAAGGTAGTCAGCCCTCTTATTACCGTAAATGCCAGTATGTCCTGGTACCCATTTAACAGTAACACTGTTATCTCTCCCCAGTTGGTTGACTGCTTCGGCACACTCCCAAGCCAGTAATGATGTAAAGTGTGGCCCTCGGAGAGCTCTAATAGCAGCTTGGCTATCTTTTAGGATGAATATTTCCTTCTGTGTACACCGAAGGTCTTTGAGAGATGCCACACACTGGTCGATTGCATATATCTCAGCTTGAGATACAGTTGCAAAACAACCTAGTGGGTATTTATGCTCTCTCTTACTATGGTTGTGCAAAATAAGCACCCCTGCACCTACTGACCCCTTCAGAAGGGATCCATCTGTAAAACAGTTGGATCGGTTGGCCACGACATATGTCACTGTGAAGGAGGCTAAGCTAAGAAGCTAACTGGAAATTGTGTGTGCTGTAAACAACCCTACAGAGAGGAGAGAAGTACTGAGCTGAACTGTAAATGAGAGCTGCTGCTTTGTCAGACAAATTTAATTTAATTTGGAAGCCTTATCAACACAGACTGGCTTCATTCACGTCCTCCACAGCTGTATGCTAAACTAACTAGCAGACACTGCGCAGAAAATCGATGTTCTGTTCTCTGATTGGCCCGGAYGAAATKCYCCTGAAGAAATCCTTGTCTATGGGAGAAATCCCAGACGGAGCTGTGAAGGGAAACGAGAATTGAGTGGAACTGCGTAGGAAGGCAAGGGTCAGGCTACAGTGATCCTGACCTCTCTTCGTTACAGCTGATGTGGATGGGAACAGATGCTGAAAGCGTAAATCGTGCCTCGGATGGTCCAAACAAGCAAGAGACTTGAAAGTTGCCTTGCCCACTGTTTGACCTACCTAGAAACCTGGACGGGTGACTCACATCATCTTTAAAGGTAACGTCTGGCTGTTTTTACTAAGTGTCGCTGGTCTGACGGACTTCGAGTGAGAGATGCCTGCTCTTCTGGTTCCTCACATTCTTTAAAGATAAGAGTTTAATTAAATAACTAATCTTACCTTTCCTCCTTTCCTCTAAAAACCTCTGCCTTGCCAGCCGAAGTTAAGTGCCACAAATGTCTGGTATTCAAGACCTAAGCTTGATGTTTGTTGTTCTTTTTTAAGTGCTGGATTGACAATTAATTAAGCTCGAAGCATGCTTATTATTGTTGATTCTCAAACTTTTTTTTAGGAAATTCATTGCTCACAGATAAGTGTACTGTAGTGACTTTGTTTGATTATGTAAATAAATTATCACATTTTTGATGAATCAACCCAAAATTTACTGAGCCACGTCACTTATTGTGCTTTGTCCATTCACTTTTACACGGACGGAAGAGATGTCTACTGAAAATAAGAGATCCCTTGCTACATAATTTCCTTATAACTTTGTTATAAGATGATGTAAGTTCATTAGAAATTGGTGCAGAACATGGTCTTAAAAGGTTAAATATTTATGTTTGTGCAATATTGAATGACTAAATATGATGATTCATAATGATTAGTTTAGCTAAGTAAGACATTTCCACAGAAAAATCCATAATAAAGCTGAATCATACTGAGGGAGAAAATATCTGTCCTCTTTTCTTCTGTAACTTTGATCAACATTGTTTCATGATTATCAAAATGTGTAATAACTCTTAGTTAAGAGACAAATAAATGAAGATTATTCTGTTTATTATCTGATTAAGAAAAAGAGAATGTCTCTTTAAAGTTAAGGTGATCTGTTGTGACCCAAATTCAGGTTCAACCTGAACAGAGTTCTGTCTCTTTAAAGGGCCCATCAGAGGCCTGAGGTCACAAGACAGTTTTCTTGTTTATTCCACTCGAGGTGACCTCTACAGTAGATTTTAAAAGATTTAGTGTGAAGACTTTGGGTTTTTTTTGGGAGGCATTTCAGAAAGTGAGTTTAGTGGAAACTCTGAGTCAATTATCTTTGAGTTTATCACTATGGTAACAAAGTCCATGAAGCAAACATACACACTACCTATTTCTACCTGTCCCCTCCCACCTGAATCAGGCTGAGTTGTTTAGAACAACTTTATCAAGCTCAGCAACAAGTGAAAAAGGTTATTCTAAATGTGACTAACTCTAATGTTTGAAGCAACTTTTCTTTTGTTACAGAAATCAGATTTTAAAGTTTTACTTCATTTGTTTGCTTTAGGCAGCTTCAAATATGACTCTTAACAAATAAATTGACTGAACCAGCAACCTATCAGTTCCAGGACGATTCCCCTAACCACTCTGAACCTTATCCAGTGGTGGAGAAAGTACTCAAACACTGTACTTAAGTAAAAGTACAAATAAACAGACAAACATGTACTCTAGTAAAAGTAAAAGTACCACATTAACATTTTACTTGAGTAAAAGTAAGTACTTGCTTTTAAAAATACTTAAAGTTTCAAAAGTAAAAGTACTTGCTTAATGCATTCCCTAATGGTCTATAATATCATGAAATGTGCCTACAGTATGTATATTTTTACTGCATCAGTGGTGCCATTTTATTGAACAAAGCTGCAGATAATACATGTGACACTGTTCACACTTGGACTTGTGATTCTGTGCATCATCACAGATTGTGACAGCAGCTGCAGAATCTGTAAATTCACCACCAACGTTCTTTATCAGGTCTCAACAAGTCGTTTTTTGAACCAGTTAACTTGAATAAGTCTTTTAAATAAGGCCACAAGGGGCGCATTTCCTCAGTGGTGGAATCCATTGTAGGCATGCTGCTGCTGCTCTGCCTTTTTATTTTGTATTTTTTTTGAAGGATGGTCTAATGGTACTTGCTTTGCAGTGGACAAATGGACAAATTACAGCAGTTCCCCTCTCACCATTGATTACTTTCAAACTAAAAAAAGCAACCCCCCCCCAC